GCCGGCCGAGCGCGCCCACCCCGCCGCTGCGGTCGCGAGGGAAGGCCCCGGAGGCTGGGAGCCTGCCATCGGGAGGGGCGGGGGGCGTCCGCCAGCTCTGGGCTCCGGAGCTCGGGACACCCGCTCCCCAGGAGGAGATCCCGAGCCTCCCCGCCTCCTGGAGCCCAGGAGGGTCCCCGGTTATTGTTCTCCCCACCTCCAGCCGGGGGTCGGGAGTTCAGGAGGCCCTGTCCGCAGAGGAGGGACCCAGAGGAGCCCTTTACCTCCAGGACCCCAGGAAGGGGCCTGGCTATTGTCTCCCTTCCCCTCCAGTCTTGGGGTACAGAGTTCTGGAAGGCCTCTCCCCAGGTGGTGATCTAGAGTCCACCTGCCCCTCAGGAACTCAGGAAGGCCCCCAGTGATTTCTCCTCCCACTTGCCAGCTAAAAGATGGGAATTCTGGAGGCCCCATCCTCTGGAGGCAATCTAAGGGTTCCTCTGCTCCCCAGGAACCCTGGAGGGGACCCAGGTATTGTTCCCCCTACCCTCCAACTACAGGGTCTGGGTTGAGGAGGCCACCCAGGAGCTCGCCCTCTCTGTTTGCTTACCCACTCCCAGCTATGGGGTCGTGGCTCAGTGTGTCCCCTTGCCCAGAAGAGGAGCCAGATGTCCTCCTGACTCCCAGGAACGTATCTATTTATTGTTTGCCTGCAGACACCCAGCTAGGGGGTGGGTAGGTCAGGGCATCTCCCAACAGGTACCTCTGAGCTCTTGCTCTCCAGATGAGGTCCCAGCTATTGTCTCTTTACCCTGAATTCCAGTTCAGGGTCTTTCCTCCGGGAAGGAACACAGTGTGCCCCTGCCCTGGGGCCAGACACTCAGGAATCTCCCCTTGGATGAAATGACCCAGGGGGTTCCCTAGTAATCTAAGAGTCCCTAGGTATTACTTTTGCCTACCCTCCATCTAGGGGTTAGAATTCAGGATCTTCTAGCCAATTGGGAAAACAGGAATATGGTCAACTGTCCCTACCCTTCTGGCTGGCTATGGAGTCCATGGGTCTCCCTGTCCTCTCAACCAGGAGTGGTCCCATATATCTTTTTGTGACCCTCACCCTCTAGCTTTAGGAACAGGCATTCAGGAATCTTCTATCTAAGAGAGAACACAGATGTATTGACACTCCCACTCTGAGCTGTGAGGTCTGGAATTCAGGTTGTCTCCTCCCCTGGAGGCAAGCCAGCGCCACCCTGCCCTCCCCCCCATGACCCAAGAGGGGTACCAAATGTTGTTTGCCCCTCACTCTTATCCCCCAGCCAGGTTCCAGAGCTCAGGATGAGCCACAAGTATACCTCACTATTAGGAACTCCCAAATCTGCCACCCCCAACTCTGGGACAGAATTCAGGCCATGCACTCAAAAGCACAGGAACCCTGACACCCGCCCCTTTCAAAGGGTCAGAAACTAGGACTGTCTCCTCCATAGGACCTAAGCTACCCACTGGAGGAGGCTGAGATGGAGAGAGGGGCAGAGCCATGGAGTTGGGCACTAGAGACCTCCAGTGCTGGGTCCCATGACTTCCATCCAGGTTTGGGGCTGAGAGGGGAGGGGCCCACCATGTCCCACCAAGATCCCTTTACTGGCAGCCTGGCTGGGGAGAGTCAGAAGTCTCTCTATAGTCGGAGACAAGGGAAAGATCTATGTGTATGTTAAGAAGTAGGTTCTGGGCTGGCCCGTGGCTCACTCGGGAGAGTGTGGTGCTGATAACACCAAGGTCACGGGTTTGAATCCCTATATAGGGATGGCCAGTTAGCTCACTTGGGAGAGTGTGGTGCTGACAACACCAAGGGTTAAGACCCCCTTACTGTCATCTTAAAAAAAAAAAAAGTGGGTTCTGGGGGCATGGCTGGTCCCCCTCTCCCATCCGTGCCCAGACTCCAAAAGAGACCCCCTGTTCCACAGAACCTACCTCCACCCATCCTCTGTCCTCACCCTGCAGATCCTACCCCAGAAGCAGCCAGTACTTCCACACCTGCGATGAGGCGCTCAGTCCTGGTCAGGAACCCAGGCCACAAAGGCCCCAGGCCCGTTTATGAAGAGCTTGACTCTGACTCAGAGGACATGGACCCCAACCCAGAAGATCTGGACCCAGTTTCTGAAGACCCAGAGCCTGATCCGGAAGACCTCAACACTGTCTCTGAAGACGTCGACCCCAGCTATGAAGATCTGGAGCCCGTCTCAGAAGATCTGGACGCGGATGCCGAAGCTCCGGGCTCCTTCTTGGGGAACCGTGACTCGGATCCCCAAGATCTCGACCCCATATCTTCGAGTTTTGACCTCGATCCAGATGTCATAGGCCCCGTACCTCTGATTCTCGACCCCAACAGCGACACCCTCAGCCCCGCCGCTCCAGACGTGGACCCCCTTTCCTCCGGCCTCACCGCCGCCCCGCAGGTCCTGGCCACCAGCCCCGCGGTGCTCCCCGCCCCTGCCAGCCCGCCCCGGCCC